TACAGGTATATATCCCGATATCTGGATGGTCCGGAGCTTACCCCAATGGAGATTACATAAACTCTTCGTCAACCTTCATTAGTATTCGTTCATGGTACAAGAACGATCCCAACTGGAGCCAGCTGGAGTCTTATTTGAACGGTGGACCAGCCCCCACCATCACCTACCATCGCTTCTGGGAGCAAGCAGATTTGGCTCTTGCTCTGGGTGCTTACGGAATGTTGTTTAATGAGTAAACAATGTCTTCAAAAATAAATATATTGCAAAGAATTTTTGTTTCCTGAGGTTTTTCTATAGTTATTTTTCCTTCCCGTTGAATATATCTTTTTTTCATACAGTTAGAATGGGTGAGAATACCTATTTTTTTTTGTAATGAATGAATTGTGATTTTAACAGCAGTAATTTATATTGTGTGGTGGACGTATATGTATACAATTTAAATTTTATGGTAACTAAATACCGTGGAGTTGTGTAGTGAGCCGGCATAGGGTTAATTTTTCCTTATAGGGAAAATTAAGAGATTTTGTCCGATAAATTTTTTTGGTCTCTGATTTTTTGGATAAAATGAATCTAGTTTATTAATCGATCGAATTTTAAATAATTTGCTTACAATGAATGTTTCGAGGTTTTTCCCGGTTTACCACGTAAGATTGGGTCTATAATTTAGTTGTTTTTATTTTTTATGGATTAAAATGAACGAGTAATTATTAAAGCTTCAGCGTTTGCACTAGACATGTGCTAACTAAAATATCTGATTATTTGGTATATCACAAGATTGGGTCAATTTTCTATTTGTTTTATTAATAAATTTTATTTCTTTTATTCAAATACCTGCTTGGGGATTAATAAATAATTTAAAATTAGATTTAGTAATACATAGTGTGGAAAAGCATGTTTTATAGTGAATTTCGGCTATAGTAAACCTGTTTATATATTATTCGGGTTTACTTACGATATTAGGAAGCTCTCTAATTAATAGTAAGTCTTCTAGTTCTATTTCACAATTTAGTAGCTTTATTCTTAAATGCTAATTAAGTAAAATCTTTTTCTCTATTATATTTATAGGAAATAAATTCTGTAGTAGCTATCTATTCATTTAAATACTTAACCGAATTAATTTCGTCTATATTTCTACAATATTTGTTTAAGTTAAATTTCTAAACATTCAGTGCATTTTTTTAAATTCCGACTCTGTAGTAGTTTTTTCTTTATGATTGTTTCAATTGCTAGTAGTAAAAAAATTACTACTTCTGTTGTTAAATTTAAACTAAATTTAAAATTTTCAAGCAAAATTGTGGACAATTTCATAACATTTAAATCAGTTATTTAAAAAAATTATTTTTGAATTCGAATTGTTGCGCTGTTGTCAAAGTAGTATATAGTATATTAAAGTTCCCAAGTTGAATGTCCATCAATCAAAAATGGTCTAACCTATAAAGTTCTCTGTTCTAAAAGGCTTGTTGTTTGATTTCTTATCAGAGACAATTTTGTCTCTGTTCTGATTAGTGAATGTGTTTGTAGTGTTTCATGTTTTCTGTTAATGCAACAATTCAGTTCTTAAGGTATTTTAACATTAAGGTGCTAATTAGAAAAGGCACAGATTTTTTTTTAACAATTACAACTGCTACTTTATATGATTTTGCCGCATGTAGTTAATACTGCATGATGAATTCTTATACTTAAAATACCAGGCTTAATAGTACTAAGTGTTGAAATCACTTTACCAGTTCAAGGAAAGTTACTACAGGCAATTTTCGGTTAAAACTCCTGGGAAATATAACCATGCAGTACGTTACATTTAAAAACAATTTATCAGAACAAAAATACACATTCATATATTTATCTTCCATAGGTTTCGAAACAATTTCAAATAAAATAAGAATTACAGGGACAAAGAAACGAAACAGAGCTGTTTTCTCGGTGGTAATCCTTTACACTACAGTGTGGTACTAGGATTGCCGCTTTTCCGATTAAGACTATACTCACCTTATAGCAAATCTCGTAACAAACAACATTTTTCCTATACATTTTTCAACCGAATGCTGTTTTCCGCCACTTTTCACCCTCTGAATTTCACCAATTTCCAAAACAAAACCGGTCCCCGTGATAGTTCAGCTCTTTGCGCCTGCGTGCCAGTGGAAATTTTTCGCGGAGTTGCCAGTACTATACAGGGTGTCCCACTGGGAACCGCCGCGATTGATATCTAGCCAATTGTAAATAGGAGAAATTTGAAAATTGCACAATGTGCCGAAGTCATTGGGGGCAAGCGATCTAAAATATTTTCAAAATGGCTACACTTCCGGTTATAGCGGAAGTAGGTATCAACTTACTTATTTTAAATGGAACACCTTATATATTGTAACGGAAATGGCCTGGGGTACTCACGTTTGGAATGGGGGGATCGAACGGTAATTTTGAAGTTAGTTTGTTCCTGTTCCGTAGTTAAAGTTATACCGAGTGGAATAAAAGTTGGAAGCTGAAGAAAGAGTTTGATACTTGGCCATCCACGGTACAATTATATTACGTTTCTAAATTTTACTCCAAAGTCTAACCGTTTTTGATGTATGTATTTGAAATTTGATGTAAAAAATGACAGTTGCAGCCACTGGAATAATTACTTATTCCTATAAGGGAATATGTGCTACTTAATTTGAGTCCCATTTATTGTTGAAAAGGACCTACTTTAATGGAATGTAAACAAAATTTTGCAAACTATTAATACAAGGTGTTAAAAAAATAAGTTTCAAAATACAGTTGAGACAACCGCCCAGTATTAGAAATAAGTGTAAGTTTGTGTAAGGTTGTATATTCCAAAAGTGTGTAGTTTTCCAAATATAGTCAATTTAATGTTTTTATATGGCTATTTTACCGCATCTTATTTTAAATCCTGTCACTCTTAGTTACCATGACGCAAGTGGCCTTTTTTAATACAACCCAATGCTAAAGAAATGTTGCAAGCTGTCAGTTACATTTTGAAAATAATTCATAATCATGCGCAGACGCTTAAATTATACAACCGAAGATTATTTAAACTTATGTACTATTTATGGAGAATGTGATAAAATTCATGTGAAGAGAGAATATGAAGAACAGTGTCACATTTGACACTCGATATCCACAAAAACAGAAGCCGCCTTCACGCTATGATGTTAAACAAATCACGGAAAATTTCAAGAATTTTGAATAGGTACGTCTAAATAACAGTGCATCTTCAGTTTAAAAAGGCAACCAGAAAAATTAGAGACCCCTAGATTTAAAAAAAAACTTGTTTTTGTTCTTGATATAATGATAATTAATAATACATAAAATGTTCTTGATATAATCTTATCACATTCTCCATAAATATAAAATAAGTTTAAATAATCTTCGTTTGTACAATTTAAGCGTCCGGGATGATTATTAATTATTTTCAAAAGGTTTCTGACAGCTGTATGCATTCTTTTGACATTTGATTGTATTCAAAATGACCACTTTTGTCATGGCAACTAAGAGTGGCAGGATTTAAAATTAGATGCGGCAAAATAGCCATATGAAAACATTAAATTGACAATATGTATTTCGAACACTAAACACTTTTGGAATAGACAACTTTACACAAGCTCAACCTTATTTTTAATACTGAATAAGAAAAAAATATCAAAAAGGGGGTTTCAATTTGAAAAAATTGATTTAAGGCGGTTTCCTTGTCAAAGTCATTTGGAAACTTATTTTTTTATCACTTTGAATTAATAGTTATCAAAACTTTGTCGAAATTCCATGAAGCTAAGTCTTTTTCAACAGTAAATGCTACTCAATTTAAGTAGAACATATTCCCTTATTAGAATAGCAAATAATTATTCAAGTGGCTGCAACTGTCATTTTTTACATAAAATTTCAAATATATTTAGAATATGGAGTGGAATTTAAAAATGTAATAATATATAGGGTGTTCCAATTAAAATTATCAAGTTGATACCTACTTCCGGTATAACCGGAAGTGTGGCCATCTTGAAAGTATTTTAGACCGTTTGCCCCCCAATGACTTCGGTAGACTGTCCAATTTTGAAATTCCCCCTAATTACAGCTTGCCAGTTTATCGATCGCGGCGGTTCGCGGTGGGACACCCTGTATTAGCACTTCCTTAACCTTTTCATGTAAACAAATCATTTAATATACTAACTACAGTTGAGTCCGGATATAACGAACTTGAAAAATTAACTAAAACTGGTTTGTTATATCCGGAGTTCGCTATAAGCGAATAATAATACAAAAACACGTGATCTATTTTATTTCGTTATTTTTACATAGAGTAGAAGTTAGTAGGTATAACTAAAAAGAACACAAAAAGATAAACAAAATTCAATTTTAAATCTACTTCATAAAGTCTGTAATTTTTGTTTGTACATTTCTGCTGCAAAAATAGATGTTATTTATGTAGTTTTCAAGATCACAAAAAGACTCCCAGATATGATTAGGAACTTGGCGTAATTTTGGAAAATTCTGAGTTTCTGACACTTTTTTTGTCATTTCAGAAATGGTTGGAACAGCATTAGTGTCTACAGTAGAATACGTTTCACCTAAATCGTCATCTTTCGCATTATCGCTTAAAGCTGTAGATGAGGTTACGGAGTCTATAATTTGCTCATCGGTCAACATTTCTCTTG